AGATGGGCATGGATGTCAGCCCAGTGCCAATCTTCCTCAGCAAAAAAAAAAAAAAAAAAAAAGAGGAAGATGGCAAAAGATTTTAGCTCAGGGCTGATCTTCCTCACAAAAAAAAAAAAAAAAGCCCAGCATGCCTTTCAAATTTCTGCAACACTGAGTTCACATAAATGCTCTTTATCCTCACCTGATGGGAGTACCAGACAATAAAGTGACTATACCTCGCCTACTGCATGGGAATAAACAATTGCCAAATTCAACAAAAATACTTCTCAAAATAAGAATTTCCTTACCTGTGAACTGCAAGATTTAAAAAACCTTCTCCTCAGGACCTTCCCACTTGGACATCGGAGAGCAACAGTAACTACCTGAGGAATAGAAACGTTCAAATAAGAATTCCAACCCACTGCTCTTTGCAATTCCAAAATTACTACTCCTATGAAACATCTGTAGTTATAAAAGCTCACGTTGGGTTTTGTAGGAATTTATCTCTGAGAGTTGTAGACCAACATAAAGATCCAGATAAAATTCACTCTAAACATAGAAATAATTCTTCTGACACTGAAAAACATCTTCCTACTGACTGAGGAGATCAGTGACAGAGCCTTCCAGAAAGGACACCAGAGACTAAGTGCTTCTGTCTGCCTAGATAATATCAAGATTGCAGGGCCGGCCCCGTGGCTTAGCGGTTAAGTGCGCGCACTCCGCTGCTGGTGGCCCGGGTTTGGGTCCTGGGTGCACACTGCTTCTCGGGCCATGCTGAGGCCACGTGCCACATACAGCAACTAGACAGATGTGCAGCTATGACATGCAACTATCTACTGGGGCTTTGGGGGGAAAATAAATAAATAAATAAGATTATATCAAGATTGCAGCTGGGCTTCAAAAGTGACCTACCAAACCAAGAAGACCAGTGCCACCTCAGCATCTACACACAAGAAAAACACCAGGTTGGAAGGAAACAAAAAGTCTCCCAGTCCACTCTATCACTGTAGGCTGTGCATCAGGCCTACATCATCCAAGGGAGGAGAGACGAGCCTGGAGCTGGTCCTGCCTGCTGGGCTCTAAGAGACCTCCTCTCCCGGGAGCAGCTCCTGCTTCATCTGCTGTATGTATCAAGTGTCCCCATATTCCTTCCTTTGATAAAACAGTTAAACAGCTAAAAAGGGCTTGCAAACTGCTAGTATATTAAGGCACATTCTAAAAAGAAAAGATGATGAATTAGTAATTTATTCTGATCTTCATTATTTACCTGCCAGGAAACCCTTTCCTATGGTTAACATTATCATACTCTCCTGGGAGCCATGTAGGCATCACAGTATGTAAAAATGGTGGTTTTACAGCAGCACCTCCCCCTTCAGGAAAGCCATGTTAGAAAATATTTCCATTCAAGGAGGTACGGTATTTGATTCACATCCAATCAGTGCCATGTTGAGCTCCGTTATTACTTCTACTAAAGAAAATTTTATAATAAAACAAAGAAATGACAAAATAACTGAATCACATATTAAAAAACAATTTTCCTTATTTTTAGAAACAAGAAAATTTAACTTTTACAGTGAGGTTTTGTTCAAACTCTAATCATCTGATGGAATTAAGGCCAAATGCTTTATGAGAAACTAGGGGTAAAATATAACAAATTAATGTTTTCCATTACAATCAGATAAATACTTGAGGGAAACAAACTATCATTGTTTGAAATCTAGCAATTGTTCTGTTATTACAATCACTGTGAAAGTTGGCTGTGCAGTTCCTCCTGATATTACTGACAGTGTTGTGGACTCACACAGAATGGGTAAAAAGCTTGGGACACAATCCGAATTAGAAAATAAATCACTGTCCCAAACGCAGATTGTTAAATGGAATCTAAATTAAAAGTAGCAGCACTAATTAAAATTCGGTTCCCAGGTACTCCTTAAAATGAAATAAAATGGCATGCAATAATGAAAATAGTCGCTATGGTAATATGGTAACATTCTATGATGATCTACAAAATTATTTTCAAATTACCTTAAATTCCAGTTACTGTCTTATCAATTTAAAAGTAGAACAGTAACATATGGTGAATATTCTATTGTGAATTCTAGACTACCATGAGTTATTTCCTCCTCTCATTTTTAAAATCTTACCGTATTATTATAAAACTCTATGGAGAGTTGCAATACTAAATACATAACAGGCACAAAAAAAACCAGGCATACTGCTTAAGTAAGAAACGCAGTAATTAGGTTTCAGATCCCTCTCTCCCCTGTCAGAAATCCATGTTAGTCATTAGTTCACTCATCTATTAGTCTGCTCCTAAATCCAAGCAGGCTTCCATTATAACAGGAATTTTCTCATATGGCTCATTATATTATAGAGTCACAGTTACTACACATACAGAAATATACAGATAGATAGTGACACCTTCATCCGGTTGTAGTAACCTTTAAAATGGATGTTAGTCCCTTCCCCAGCAACACAGAATTATAAAGACGTCCCTCTATTCTGTGGGTGACGCCAGACACTTAATGGGACCTAACTTAAGAAAATAGGGAATTTCCTGAAAATTATTATTTCCAGTATTCCTAAAAGTGAAATTATTCTTTTACATAGGTACTCATAAAACAGTTACGTAGCTTAGGGATTAAAATATATTTGTTATGGGGCTGGCCTGGTGGTGCAGTGGTTAAGTTCACGAGCTCCGCTTTGGCAGCCGGGGTTCAGGAGTTCAGATGCTGGGCACAGACCTACACTGCTCATCAAGCCATGCTGTGGCGGCAACCCACATACAAAACAGAGGAAGATGAGCAGAGGTGTTAGCTCAGGGCCACTGTTTCTCAGCAAAAAAAAAAAAATATATATATATATATTTTATATATATATATGATGATATGTCATGATTATGTAATATGATATGTAATGATTATGATACCAGCACAAACCTGTTAACAAAATAGGAAATAGTACTTTGTAGAAAGGCAGAAACAATGTAACTATATAACAACAAAGACAAATATCCTCAAATCACAGGTAACTTTGGTATCGCTCTCATTCCCTACTCCAGGCGTGCCGTTTTTACTTTGAAAACACTTTATCAGGGTGATAGGGTGGAGGATGGGTTGGAAGAGCACACTCCCCAAAACAGAATGCTTTCTTTTTCTTACTTTTAACTTTTATGATGATAATGACACTCCATGCTTAAGGTCTATTTTCATTATTCTGAAAAAGTTGGCTAAACAGAAAGGCAGAGAAGTCTGGGGGTGGGCAGGCTAACTGCCCAGAAATAGGTCATTAGCCCAAGACTAGGAACACCAAGATGTAGGTCAATGAGAACAGGAGAATTACTGAAAGATGGAATGGGACATTTGAAGTCATCCAGGAAAGTAAACTAACGGCTTGCGAATGGTTAGTGGAGAATTAAAAATTTTTGCATTGAATTCTTAGAAATCTATGAGCAGCAGCACCTGCAGATGGAAAATTCCTTGCCCAATGATGATTCTGATAGAATCAGAACATTCCAACATTTATTAGCTTTTCTTGATTAGTGTAGACTAGAACACACTATAAAAGTATCAAGTAGTATCAACTATACATTAGTGATATTCTTAGTAAAACTTCATTATGTAATATAAAAGGTGCTTGTACCGATTAATACAGTATCTAGAGGGTGCACACATTTTACATGTGATTTTCAGGCAACAACTATTTACCATAATTTTGTTGACTTGATTAACCAAAAACAGAGCAAAGAGGAGCAAAAATCAGAGCAGGGCCAGAGCAGGGGGAAGAAAACAGGGACAGCGTTGCTTATAGAGGGAATAAGGGCTGAGTGCTAGCTGCAGCCAGGAGGCCTGCGTTCTCCCAGCAGGTACCTCGGAAACTTCCACCTGTGGCTTCAGCTCCAAGTGAAGAGCTGGGATGAGACAGGTATTTAGGTTCATTCCAGCCCTAAAATAACATTACTCTGACATACACTTTAATGAGCGTAACACAAAGTGTCACCTGTCAAGTACTGGAAGAGGCAGAGGAGAAATAAAAGGGAACGACTATGAAGGCCTCTTACAGAGGAGAGCAGCATTGACCGCCTCTGTGGCAGAGGTTTCTTAAGCTTTGTAGGGTCACAGACGTGAGATTCGGAAGAAAAACACTGTCCTCCTACCTATAATCACAAAAAGCTTCAATTTCAAAGGATTCACTGACAACCTGATGTCTATAATCCATGCACCTTTGGTGACAAACTGCTGTTCTGTAGAAATAATGCCATGTTTTAAAGCTAGAGTAAATTCAAAAAAGGCATTTCCTGTCAAACCTGAGCTCGATTTAATTACTCCTGTATTATAAATGGTTGTCACCCAGAGCTTGAGGAGAAGTGAGGATGCAGAATGGTCAGGATAGACATATCACGGGCGTGAATTTGTTGGGTGTAACAAGGAGGAATCAGAAGTTTGTTTGTTTTAATTGTGTTTCTCCTAGGGGTTCAGTATCTGGATTGCACACTTCACTGTCTCTATTTTTGCATGACTTTTGGGTTTTCCTTCAGACGTCTAAAGTACTAAATTTAAATGTTGCCAATGTGTTGACAAAAATGAAACCCTCCCAATGGCTTTCACGGCTGCCTCAAAAATGGTTTTCAAGGAGTAAAACAGTTGCTGAGCTCTAAGAAATGGAAAATCCTCAGGGCTCTCCTTTGCCTAAGTGACTTAATGGCTGTAAAGACACAGGCTCCCCATACCCTAGAGCCGTATCTGAAACTAAGCTGGGCAACGGCAGACAGGCAGCATGGATTATAACAGAACAGGTGGGCAGGAGGCAGCTCAATGCAGAGTGGGGTTCAGTCTGACCCTACCCCCAAAACAGCAAACCATCCTTCAATTCAAACATCTACAAAGCAGCTGCATTCTTCGTTTCAGCTTTTTTAAGGGGAAAAACACAATTTGAAGTCATCTGCCTATTTTGACTCTGTTTTAATAAGTAACTCATTTGCTGACCTGAAGTTCTGGAAAAGCCCATATCCTATCTTGGCCTGATGAAGTGGGACGGCTCTAAAAAACAAACTCAGCAGACGGCAGGCTTCCAAAATAGGACTCGACTGAGGAGTCTGATATGACACCATATTCAAAGCAAGACCTAACGACAGTGCAATCACACAAACACTTACGCTATCTTGTCATTCTAAACCCAAATTTAGATAAGACACCTAACTTGATGTTAAAGAAAACATACGTAATTTTTGAAGAAAAAAAATAAGCTTACTTCTTCAGCTGTTTCAGGAGGTTCTTCAGGTAAATCAAGAACCTAAAGAAAAGTAACTATTAGTAACAGGAATGTAAGCACTCCAAAGAAGAAAATGATAATCTTTACAGGCGTAATTTTTTTTTTTTTTTAATTTTTCCCCCAAAGCCCCAGTAGATGGTTGTACGTCATAGTTGCACATCCTTCTAGCTGCTGTATGTGGGACTCGGACTCAGCATGGCTGGAGAAGCTGTGCGTCGGTGCGCGCCTGAGGTCCGCACCCAGGCCGCCAGTAGCAGAGGGCGTGCACTTAACCACTAAGCCACGGGGCCGGCCCGAAAATGATAATCTTAACAAGAAGAGTTCCTTTCAATATAGAGTTCAGACACATCTAAGCTTAACGAAATCTTTTCTTTTAATATACAAAAAATATGTTTATAAAAAGTACACAATTAGAATGAGAGCTCAATTAATAAACATTTCTGGGTAAGCAACTTTGTGCTAACAACAGATCCTAAAAATAGGATTTAAGAAGACAGCTACTAGGGCCAGTCCCATGGCTTAGCGGTTAAGTGCGCGTGCTCCGCTGCTGGTGGCCTGGGTTCCAATCCCGGGCGCACACCGAGGCACCGCTTCTCCGGCCATGCTGAGGCCCTGTCCCACATACAGCAACTAGAAGGACGTGCAACTATGACATACAACTATCTACTGGGGCTTTGGGGGAAAAATAAATAAATAAAAAAGTTAAAAAAAAAAAAGAAGACAGCTACAAATCTATACATAAAGAATTTTGTTTTTATGATGATCCAAGATACTATATAAAAATGTCCTATTTAAGGAAACAGAGGACAAATATTAACATGAATTAAGTTCAATAAGAACCCAAAATTATTTAGGTTCATACATATATACGTTTTAAGTGCATATTTTGAGTGCATATTTTTCTTCTTGGGGACTGGATAACAGCCACTTTGTTTTCATGATTTACTCACATTTTCCTATTTCTGTTACTCTATTAACAAACCAGATGTTCAGACCATTTTCTCTCATTAAAACACTTGTTGCCAACAATTTCACCTTCAAGGATCCTTTTTATTTTTTAATACCATGGACTCCATGTTTTACAACATTTTATCTAACAAACATTAATTGCGTTTATTAAATAAACCATTTGTTTTCCCTTGTTATCAAAAGCATTATGACAATCAACCAAAATTTACCATTAGAGGGCCAGCCCCATGGCTTAGCGGTTAAGTGC